AAGATTTACAAAAAACAGCTGCATATGTGCTGGAGTATATTGTATTTGATGTGTTGCTTATGCAGTAGCTTGGAGAACACCTGAAATATACATAAGCAGTATATTATACAAATTCAATGTAATGTAATATATAAAGTTAATGTATTATGCACTGTATATAACTTCTAACATATGTGTGTGTGTGTGTGTGTGTGTGTGGGGGGGGGGGGTTCCTGGATTTAAATGTAGATGTTGATGCCACCATCAGAAAATAATTGTCCCTATTTTCATGGCTCACCAAAAGCAATTTTCTAGTCCTGTGAAATTTCATTTGCTGTTCTAAGAAAAAGCATTTTACAAAATTATTGTTTTACAAAGTTAAGAAAGTAAGAGTAACGCATGACCCTGGCCAGTGTGACATGAAATCCACCCAGTAACATCTAACCATCATCGAACCTTCACATAACCATGTTTAGGGTGCCCCCTAGTGGTTTCCAAACCCATTAAAAAATAGTAGCTTAATAATGAATCGAAATGCTTTTTTCTTTCTCAGTTCAGTTCCCTGAGATAAACCAGAACATTCCGTGGTCAGACTCATTATACTTCCTTGTGGAGGAGTAAAGTAAACTTTAGCTACCCTTCGTGAAGTATTTAGCACGTGTGAGATGGGTGTTAAAATGCTGCATTTATTAAAATGCACCCAAGTTTACACATGACCCGTGAAGAAAAGTCTATGGGTTTTTGAGAGAGTTTTCCGTTGTGTGACTGCCTGTTACTAACGTGAACATGGCTGAAGGGGCACCTTTACACTCACCCCCACAATATCTATATAAACTTGTGAGGATAATTGTGCATCACATGATGTGGATTTCATAAGTCATTTCATTTCATTTACACCAGTGTGAACATGGTTGTGAAAGAATTACCATGACTACTGGTACAATCAGATTTTCCTGTTGTCTCTGGAGAGCTTTGGAGCAGATCAAATAATCCAAAAAACAAAGAAACAAATTAATAAAGCTATGATAATGTATTATTAAGGCTTTTGTAGTTTCATGGTTAGTTACATTTGAATTTAGGCACTGAAAAAGAGGGCTCTTTTTTCAGGAAAAATAATTTCTTATCGATGTTGGTTCATTACTTTGTGGATAAAGATTTTAAAATAAAATCTCTTAATACACTGCAATGTATGCTTTATTTACATAAAGACATACAGTCTCCAAAACTACTTTCACTTTTTATTCCCAGATTCTAAATGGGAAATATATGAAAATACATTTTTCCAGCAGATCTACAAACCATTTACATCATGAAATAGTCCAAAAGTTCACAACTCTTGAACAATTTATTAAAACTTAAAAACCAAAATTGAGAGACGTAAAAAGTAGTCATACTGATGGAGTGGAATTTTCACCTTTTGCTGCAGCAGATAATGAGATAAGCTTTCCGCATACCGATCTAATGGACTAGATAAGCATACTGGCTTTTTATGAGACACAAGTTACTCGTGAAAAATAAGTTGTACAGGTGATCGGTAAAAATAACATGCTTGTGTAGCTCAATAATATTCTGGGTAAATCATGGACGATGTATCCGAATCTCGAGCAGGATGATTAGTACATACAGAACACGATCAGAATTAATCCACAATCACAACTTCCCAGAATATTACAGTAAGAGGATTAATTCCATGCCATGTGGGCAACGTAATCGTCCGCAAATTCATCCTAATACAGATTTTCATTGTATCATTAGCAAATAACAAATACAGTACAATAGGTATAGAAGGTAGGAAAGAGGTTTTCCAGGGCTGGTATCAACCCTCTTATCACCCCTTTTTAAGTATCCTGTTCTTACTAAGACTTCTGGTCTAGCCGTTCTCTGATAACAGAGAATTCCTTGGTAATAGTTCTTGTCAGTATGTTTTGGCCACTGCTGATGGGGGTGGTTACAAGGTATTCCTTATTACACAGACCCAGGTGTATGTCTGTGGGCCTGAAGGTTTCTCATAGCTCTCTCTGCCTTAGTTATGTGCTCCTCTTTATGTATTACTCATCTAAACTGCCAGTTCCACAGAAGAGCCATTACTCAGATAGAATCAATATGGTGCAATTCAGTGTGCAATCAATGTGGTGCAATATCATGTTTTTATTGTGTACATCATACTGAAACTGAACAGTACCTGGTTATGTCTATTATCAGAAATTTGTGTCGAATGTACTGTGGTTCAGTATTTTGGGCTTGTGTTTGCCATCATGCTGGATTTGTTGTTTCTTCCCACAATCCCATTTATTGCAGGGTGGAAAAAGTCTCCAACAAGTAACATTTAATTGGTCAGAATGATTTTACAGTAATAGATACTTTATTGTCCCCGTGGGGAAGCTGTTTTTGTTTATGCCTCCCTCAGCTTGCCCTTTGTAGAGTAAGCTGACTGTGAAGGGCAGCTACCCACAGTAGCACCCAGGGAGCTGGGGGTTAACGTCCTTGCTCAAGAACCCACAGACATACTAAGGCTGGGTTTGAACTGGTGACCTTTTGATTACAGGCACACAGGCGTAGCCCACTGAGCCATTGTATCATTTGCAAATGGCAACTACATTAGGTACAGAAGGTAGGAAAGAGGTTTTCCTGGGCTGGTATCAACCCTCTTATCACCCCTTTTTCAAGTATCCTATTCTTACTAAGACTTCTGGTCAAGCCGTTCTCTGATAACAGAGAATTCCTTGGTAGTAGTTCTTGTCAGTATGTTTTGGCCACTGCTGATGGTGGTGGTTACAAGGTATTCCTTATTACACAGACCCAGGTGTATGTCTGTGGGCCTGAAGGTTTCTCATAGCTCTCTCTGCCTTAGTTATATGCTCCTCTTTATGTATTACTCATCTAAACTGCCATCTCCACACTACAGAAGAGCCATTACTCAGACTGAGTAGAGTGGCCTGCACGGTGAGGTCTTTGGCTTCGGTTAGTATCTACAGGAACTCTGAAATCAATAAGACGGGTTCAGAGTCCTATACCTACATCCACAGTAACTCTGGAGAATTGGCTGGCCATATTTGGCAAGTGGTTGGAAAGCTTAGACAGGCACCTTCATCCCTGTGGAGTTTGGCCCCCGAATGGCTCAGTTCCTAAAGTACATCAATCTTTCAGGGTGTGATCATTTCCCTTCTCTTCTTGGTCGCTCACTGCAGGATCTTCATGGCTATCCAGCCTAGTTATCCACAGACCATGCATGATGCGTCTGAGGTGGTTCAAGTTTTAAATGGCTCGACTGGCTCTTGTAGAGAAGACTCCACCTTCTTTTCTTATTGCTTCATTCATTTAATTGTTTTTTTACATGTTCTTTCATATTACAGTAGTTTAAAGCCATGTGTGTAATATAATTATGGACGATGCTGTGTATGGAACACACTGTGGTGCTCTGTGTGAGGTGAAATGGCTGTTCAAGTGTAACACCAACTAACAGGTGGCTCTTGGACTGTGTGTAAGACTGGGTGCATAGATCATGTGTGGTCAGAAGGTTACCTTCTTGAATGGAATATTAGAGAGTCTCATCCTTAATAAAGGAAGGATGAGTAAACGGGGTTTATTAGGCGAAAGACGGACAGGCACGGACATCTACGGACACTACAATGACGGATCTGGGCAGACTGACTGAGACAAGGACTAAATACAAAAGACAAGCTACGGGTAACGAGCCACAGGTGAGAACAATCAGGGATGAACACGAGGTAACGAGGTGGGCGTGGCACACATCAGGAGCGGACGGAGCGGGGCGTGACACCCTCTTCTTTCAACAACAAAATTTACTTTACATGTACCTCAGCAGGACTTTATTGCTTTACTGCAGATTCAGTAATTTACCTCATTTTTATGTCTGTGTCCAAAGTCTTCTTACCAAACAGATAACTCAGATACATAGATCACTTAATGTTAGATGGACTTAAATTTGTTCTAATTTTTACATTTAATTATCAGTGGTTTGGCAATGTTTCTGTCCTGACGTCCACCTTCTCACTGGAGGCAAACTATACATAAATTTGAAATGTAGTCTTTTCTTTAAAGGGGGTGGTCATTACATCATACATAAAACGATGAGCTTGGTTCATTTTACTGTGCTGATTAATTAAATATTGTAATATATTTTATACTGGTGCATTTCCTCAAGCTGTCATAGAGTTTGAGCACCTATGCCTCTCTGGGCTTCTGTAAACAAGACTGTAGGATCTGTAGTAATATGCTCACTTGTCCACAGAGGCTCCTGCTGGGCTCTCCTGGTCTGAGATGGGGGTCCACAGCACAGAAATGTAGGTGTGATATAAAACTCGGGCACTGAAATCAGGAAAGTTCAGTATGAGACACAAAAAGTGAGAAGCTTGCAGGCTTTACTCCTGCTTCTGTCCTTCAGCAGTTCCTACAGTAACAACCCTAATCTACTGTAACTGATCTCTTCTTGTTTCCCCCCCCCCATCTCCTGCACTGCTGGCTGTTTATCTGACTGATACACCTGCGCTGTGTAACAACACACACCAAAGCACCACACACACGGCAATAAGAAACACAATGTCATCCACAGACAAGTGTGCGGCTTCTCATATTTCAGCTTAAGACTGAGGGATTCATGGCTGTTTGTAATTAGCGGCAGACATAGAAAACATTAAATAATTACAAGATGTGGCAAATATGAGGGAGGAAATAAATCTATATTTTTGGATTTCAAAACAAGCAACAATAAACAAATTGCTGTTTCCTTATAAGATGTAGACCTGCCCCAATAAACAGGAGTGAGATAAACTTCCTGCATTGCTCAATGCTACAAACACCACCCATTTCATGATATATAAACTGAAGGCAAAAAGGGTAAATCAGCCACTTTGTCCAGCAAGTATTTGCAGTGCTGAGGAAGGAAAAGAGCCTACATTTTAAGTAAGAAAAACTAATTTATATTGTTGACAACTATTTTGGGGGAATGGAGGAAAGAAAATAAATAATCTTGTATCTATGTTTAGTTTATGAAATATTTTAAGGCTGACAATTTTAGCACACATTTAACAAAGTAAACTACAAACATGTCGTTGTAGTTCCTGTGAGGTTAAGAATGAAATAACACTATATACATGTGTAATTGTTCTTCTCCAGGTTGTAGTAATTCCTGATAAACTAAGATGTGTGTTTATACGGAGCTCAGTCCTGCTGTCCTCATGCAGGACTGTAACACACTGTCCTTTATAGGGTTGGTCTGTGTTAGACCTGCTCTGCTCTCTGCCATTATACACACATGTTCAGGTTCTGTTGAACCAGCATTAGAATGTATTCACTGATGAGAATCCTAAACACTTACGTAAATCGCTCTGGCTAAGGGCGTCTGCCAAATGCCATAATTGCAAATGTTCTTTTTTTCTGCTAGGGAATTAGGAACAATTTACTGTGCTTTACCTTACTGTTACTGTGCTGTACTTTAATGTTACTGTGAGAGTTTAATTTTGTGTTTCCAGGCACATGTCAGCTCTGGCAGGTATTTTTTGTTTCTAAAATGAAAATCAAGTAGCTTTGGGTGTTCCTATTATCGCACAAGTAACAGGAAAATGATGAAATCGCTGAATCCTATTCTGAACATTTTAACAATATTTAACATTAAATAAATGCAAAACAGGAAATCCCTGATATAGGTGCCAAAACAGCCAGGACCCCTCTTGCACATGCCTGCACTGTAGTCCTGACAACTCAAGTAACATTTCACAGCCATACCATAGTCATAAATAGACTTGGACAGTGATTCATGACACAATAACTAAATCTCATGAAAGCGATCGGATGTTCTTGGATGGTGGTGGACAACCTCCTTCATGCAGACTTTAAACATTTACATACTCATCCTCCATTCTCAGATTGTTTCTTTCCAGTTGAATTGATTAAAATGTGTTCTTTTGTTTAAGGTTTATTTTAAAAGCATCATCATGTCATACTTGATTCCTGTCACTCGTATTGGTGGACAAGGCGGTTCAGCATTTGAGTTCACTGGTACCTCAAATGGAGCCATGCTGAAGAAGATTTGGGTTTGGGTTTGTGGCTGGCAGGTGAAAGCTTTGAAGGTTTGGCTCACTGACGGCCAGTCCAACCAGTTTGGAAATCCTGCTGGGGACTATTCTGAATTTACATTTGAAGATGGAGAGCAGTTTACGTCTCTGTCTCTGTGGGGAAATGGAGCTGGAACACGTCTGGGTGCCATCAAATTCAGGACAAATCGCTCCCGGGAGTTCTTCGCACACATGACAGAGTGGGGGCTGAAAAAAGAGTACCCAGTTGATACTGGATCTGGGATCTGCATGGGAATCTTAGGACGAGCAGGTTCAGACATTGATGGTTTAGGCTTCGTATTCATCAACACCATCAAGTCTACTGTGCTAACAAATGTTAACTACCCAACTCTTCATCGGGTGGTACCCAGTGTGGCTGTTGAGGAAATTAAATCCATGACTTACCAGAATACATCCACTGTATCACAAGAATACAAAATCGAAACCTCAAAGAAAATCACCAAAAAGTCTTCCTGGTCTGTGTCCAACAACATGTCATTAACCTTCAAATTCGAAGTGCAGGCGGGAATTCCAGAGGTTGCAGAAATCAATACTGGATTCAGTTTCACATTAGGAAGTGAAAGCACATATAATTTGGAGAACACAGAGGAGAGGACTGAGACAGTGTCTCATGATGTCACTGTTCCTCCTGGGAAAACTGTGAAGGCAAGCATCACAATTGGTCGGGCCACAGTAAATCTCCCCTATACTGGCACAGTCCAAATTACCTGCCTTAATGACAGTGTTCTGGAGTATCAAACCAGTGGAACCTACAAGGGCCTCACTTACACCAAAATAATTGTGACCTGAAAGAATTACTATAACTACTAGAACAGTCAGAATTTATCCTGCTGTCTCTGGAGAGCTTTGGAGCAGATCAAATAACCCAAAAAATAAATAAACAAATTAATAGATTAGACTTTATTAATCCCACAATGGGGGAAATTCTTATAGAGCAGATATGATAATGTATTATTAATGCTTTTGTAGTTTCAGGGTTAGTTACATTTAAATTTAGGCACTGAAAAAGAGGGCTCTTTTTTCAGGATAAATCATTTCCTATTGATGTTGGTTCATTACTTTGTGGATAAAGATTTTAAAATAAAATCTCTTAATATGCATAAAGACATACTGTACAGTCTCCAAAACTACTTTCACTTTTATTGCCTCAGATTCTATATGTGAACTATATTAAAATACATTTACAAACCATTATACGTCATGAAATTGTCCAAAAGTCCACAACCCTTCAACAATTTATTAACCAAAATTGAGAGACATAAAAAGTAGTCATGTACTGATGGGGTGGAATTTTCACCTTTTGCTGCAGCAGATAACTTTTCATGCCACAGCTCACTGCTGTGATCCCAGCAGGTCTGGTCATGATGGTCCCTGTTAGTGAATATAGGAACCAGAAGTGAGAGGGAGATGCCCCAACATCAGAAGGATTAAGCCACAGTCTGCACCAAGATCATCTTTGGCAAGCAGCATTGAAAAGTTCATGTCCTGGAAGATGTTAAGTGAAACTGCTGAATCTCAATCCAAGAGAGTGAAAATACTCCATGAGAAAATATTCATTTATTTGTTGAGTTTTGATCGCCTAATATCAAGTGCCATTGTTAAATAGCTCATGTAGAATTCTACATCCATCAATGTGGTGCAATTCAGTTTAATGATCATGTTTTTATTGTGTACATCATACTGAAACTGAACAGTACCTGGTTATGTCAATTATCAGAAATGTGTGTCAAATGTACTGTGATTCTGTATTTTTGGCTTGTGTTTATCATCATGCTGGGTTTGTTGTTTTTTCCCACAATCCCATTTATTGCAGGGTGGAATAAGTCTCCAACAAGTAACATTGAATTGGTCTGAATGATTTTGATTGTATCATTAGCAAAATACAAAACCAATAGCTACAGAGGGTAGGAAAGAGGTTTTTCATTTCCTATTGTTCCATTCATTTAACTGTTTCTGCTTATATATGCAACGCATTGCAAGTTAGACGCCTTCCTCTTCTCCCTCTCCTCATAAGGTTGCTTGCCACTATGCTTCCTGTATAATTAAGATTCTTTGGTTTCTAATATAAAATTAAGGGGTATTTTTTTTGTCATGTTCTTACATATAACAGTAGTGTAAAGCCATGTGTGTAATATAACTATGTCTGATGCTGTGTATGGAACACACTGTGGTGCTCTGTGTGAGGTGAAATGGCTGTTCAAGTGTAACACCAACTAACAGGTGGTTCTTGGACTGTGTGTAAGACTGGGTGCATAGATCATGTGTGGTCAGAAGGTTACCTTCTTGAATGGAATATTAGAGAGACTCAGCCTTAATAAAGCAGCAATAAACCACAAACTTGTCTGTCATGTCTCTTGTCTGAACTTGATCGTAATATACCTACAGTGTTCCTATATATACATAATATTCCTTTGTTCAACACTGGAGTGCATTAGTCTTTGTGTGCTGCTGAGTGGTGAAAATCTCTTTCCTTATTTTGCATTGACTGATAAGATACACTTGAAGGCACAGAATGACGAACAATGCTGAGAGTCTTATTGCTTTTCTTTATTTATTCTGAAGTTTCTTCTTAGACGTGTGCATAAATATAGCTATTGTGAGTCTTTGTGATTTCGTACATCAATATTAGTTGATGTTCTGTAATCTTTAGCAATGAAATTGCTTTTCAGTTTTGTCCAGCAGAAGTGGGGATTTATTTAAAACTCATTGGTATATTTTAACGTTTACCATTTCCAGTGGGGTGACACTAGGGGTGGCAAGGGCTCTGCTGGGGGTGGCAAGGGCTCTGTTGGGGGTGGCAATTGCCACCCCTGCCATCCCTTCGGCTCCGCCCCTGGTAATGAGTCTATTTTGGGCTGCACCAGAAAGGTTTTGCCCCATCCGACATGACTGGTATCCGTGCCTTGTTGCAGAAGAATTTGTCTGTATTTAGAGCTGGAGAGGGTGATTTGTGGAGAACTCGCCTTACTTTGCATAAGATTGACACCGATGTTGCGAAGCCTGTAAAGTTGCCACCCCACCATGTCCCCCTCCATTTGCAGGAGGAAGCATCTGGTCATCTAAAGCAGATGCTGGCCAATATCATCATTGGGCTGTCAAATAGCCCTTGGGCGGCACCGGTGGTTTTGGCATGTAAGCGAGATGGTGGCCTTCAGTTTTGCGTTGATTATAGCAAATTCAACGATGTCACCTGAAAAGACACATATCCATTACAACGAATTGATGATGCACTGGATATTTTGAGTAAGGCTTCTTGGTTCTCTACTTTGGATTTAGCCAGTATGTACTGGCAAGTTGAGTTGGATCCAAAAGATAAGCATAAGACCGCTTTTATTACCCATCAGGGCCTTTTTGAATTTAGCATGTTGAGTTTTGGCCGGTGTAATAGTCCAAGTATGTTCCAGCGTCTTATGGGTTTAGTGCTGGCAGATCTTCAATGGACCACTTGTTTGTGGTACTTAGACGATATAATTATATTTGGACGTACATTTCAAGAATATCTCAGCCGCTTGGACGAGATTCTGACTAAATTGCGTTAAGCTAATCTCAAAGTCAAGCAGGCCAAGTGTAACTTGTTTGCCACGGAAGTGCAGTATTTGGGCCATAAAATATCAACTAGGGGTGTGAAAGCTGACCCGTCTAAAGTGGAAGCAGCGCGCCAGTGGCCTGTGCCTACACATCAGACGGAGGTGAGGAGTTTTGTGGGCCTAGTCTCTTATTATAGGAGGTTTATTATAGGGGGTTTGCTGAAATCGCTCATCCTCTGTACCATCTTACAGAGAAGGGCAGACGGCTTAAATGGAGTCAACTTTTGAACAGCTCAAACTTAGTTTAATGTCAGCCCCAGTTCTGTCTTACCCCGACAATAATAAAACCTTCATATTAGATACGGATGCCAGTGATGCAGGCATTGGGGCGGCCTTGTCCCAGGAAGAGGGGGGATGAGAAGGTGTGATGGCATGCGCTAGTAGAGCTTTGACTTAGAGTAAAACGTGAACTCCTTTTTGGAAGGGTGGATAGTACCCCATGCATCAGCCAGATTCAATTAATCACAAAACCCAAAAGAGCTTTAGCCTGGTTTGATAAAGATGAATTTCGAGGAGGATATCTGTCAACTGAGGGGTTGAGTAGACAGTTAGGCTCCTCCTACCAATGCCACATCAGAGGAACGTTCTGTAAATTCAGAGAAGGCTTTAGTCAGGTAGTCCGATGAGTAGCTTGGTGGGCATTAGATATTCATAATAGTCATTTCTTTACCATGCAATGTCCCCTTGATAGTTACAAATCTGCCGTATTTATCCTTGAGACATGACTTCCGTATAAATGGGTGATTTTTATGTAACAGTTTCACGACCCCTCTGCTGCTAGTAGTGAAGGAGGAAAAATAAACTTGACCAACCCAGTCGTATTTGAGTCTTGTGACCCTTGTAATAATGCTACATCTATTTCCTCACTCTTCAGTAAAGTATAGACTTTTCTCCTCTTCACATTACTCCACAGACCCCTTACATTCCAAGAACATAGTTTTATCTTAGTATATGACATTATAATATGAGTTAGAACAATAACTATTTCCCCATAAGGCAAGTAGCCACTTTTTTCTCATCCTCAAAGTATTTTGTGTGACTTGCCCGTCTAATTGTATTAAGATAATGATATGCGTCATGTGACACACCAGTACTGAGCCTAAGAACACAAACCATGAAGAGCACCAATGCAAAAAAGAAATCAGTGTGGGGGATCCTTCCCCAGATCTCAAAGGGATTGTTATTCTGTGATGCACATGTAAGGAGGCTTGCATTTACCATGGTACTCTTTAACTGTGAGAGTTGCTCAGCCTCAAAGGATTCAAATGCAATGTCATGATTATCATCCGGAAGTGAATATCCAGTAGGAACAATCGCAGAACAGATAGCATCAATTTTACTGACAAAATATGAAAGAAACTGCTCACATGAAAGAGTATTAATAGATCCTGAGGGTAAATAACTGCATTAATAGCCTTATATAAAACCCGAGGATTATTAGAGTCAGAAGTTACCAAACCAGAGAAATAATCATGTTTAGCTTTGATCACTGCCACTTGGAAATTAAGCAAGGAAGTCCTGAAGATCTGTTTAGACACAGTTAACCTATATCTGTCTTCCAGCGTCATTCGGCGATTCTACTGTCATGGCACAGCTGATGAGTGTCATTTAACCAAGGAGCAGGTTTCCCCTTTTTATCACGTGCCTTAAAAGGAGCGAAACAGTCTAAAATCATTTTACATGATTAATTTAAAGCTAAAACAGAATCATCAATCCTGTCACACTGGCATTGTGTTTCCAAATTGGAAAATCAGATATAATGGCTGTATTTAAAAAGCGAGAACAGCGTGGTGCACAGCTTGTAGTGTTAATGTCAACAGTAATATTCACATCCATTGTTATGGAAAAATTATCAGTAAAACATCACATATTTCAATGTTATTGACTGTAAAACTTTAAAACAAGATCAAGGGTGTGACCTTTAAATTCCTGGGCTTCTACTTGGAAATCATCAGCTAATGTTAACCTATTAAGAAGTGATACTTTTGTTTAGATGTAATATTCTGTCTGTTTAGGCCCTTGGACTTTTGCTCCGATATGGTCAAGTAATGAAAACCAATGCAAATAAAACAGACAAAACAGACCTTTTGATGGTTAAAAATATATAGACTTAAGTCATATTATTTTCATATGTCATTTTCTACCGTGCTTAAGTGAATTTCCATTTCATAACAGTATTTTGTACGTGCTGGCTTCTACAGTACCTGGAAGCCATTGCAACATTAGAGCATTTAAGTCCTTTGTTCTGTGGATTTTATGTAATATAGAAATGAGCATAATAAAATGTACATAATAAAACTATAAATAAATTTCAGTACAATGGTCTTTGGTGTCTAAGGTTGAAGAATATTTTTGTTCATCTGCAGAATAACAAGATATAGAGACGGACAGAAATAATTCAGAACCAGGGTGGAAAAACGTTTGCGTTTGTCTATAATTCTACACACATACTCCTGTATTACTGAACCTGCCCAGATATGTCCTCAAAGTGATAACAAGTCAGCCGAACCGTATTCAATTAATACGAATCGAAAGTCAAATGAAGTTCTGAAGGTAAGCCTCGCTAAATGAGTCCCCCTACAGGCGCAATCGCGTCATTGCATTCGGCTGCACAGCATCTAAGGTGGACCGGAAAATCCGAATGAAGACCCGCGGATAAGGAGCCAACTTCAGCTTGTCTTTGGCACTCGGCCTGCGGCCCGATGCCTACAACCGAATCACAGCCGTGATATATTGGCTTAAATATGGCTGCATTATGACCATTAACCTCTGATTGGTTCCACTGATAGTAGCTGTATATACAGTAGTTGGCCTATCTAATAAATTATGGTATTTGTACCTTAAACTGCAGTGGAAAATTGCATTTATTATTATTTATTAAGGTACTTATACCACACCATTAAGGCTGGACTAATTATTGATAATCTGTCGGTGTCTGTTTTCCCTACTGTGAGGAATTAGTATACTACAGGCATGTAGTTATGTACAGGCATGAGGAAGTCAGCATGACACGTTTGTGCTTGGATGAAGGTGCATCTCATTTTGAGGAAGGATGTTAGAAATGGATTTATGAATTTTATTGTTTAATGTAGTTACACTACATCCTGCGTGCGTCTATACAGTTTTGTATGAATCGCTTCTTTTTACAGCGCTTGCTGTTAATTAGCTAATTTGTGATCCAGGCATGCTTCCATCCAGCAGAGCGGCACCTCACAGTTGCTAGATGGAGGACCGAGTGCTCGCCTTGACGTCACCCCAGGCTGTGAGACTTTGCATTATTGACTTCTGACTCGCTCCTGTCCTGTTCCCTGCCCTGGCCATATGCATGTCTATCCCCTAATGCATGGCCATTATGTAATGCAGATACATTGCTTGTTTCCATTGTCCTACAATCGACTGCTTCATTCCTGTGAATCTTAAAGTCCTAACGACATTAATCACCTTTGATGTAACAAAAAACAGAATGTAAAAAAAAAAAAAATCAGCGGTATTATTAAATATTTATATATCGCACTTGAGTCTATAAATATATTCTGGTGAGCAGATGATCTTGGTATTATTTCAAGCAGCAAGAACGTCTGAAATAAAAATCAATAAAAACAAAACGTACATCGAAAAGCATGGATCTTATTTTAAATCAACATCACATTTGAAGATGAAGTATCCTACCCATTGGGTAGATAAAATATTTACACAAAGTTTTGGAAAGACTACAGTATATATATGTTTCAGTATAAAA